AGGGAGTTACTACTCAGCATGTCAAAGTTCTGCATACACCTAATAAGCTACCATTTGACCCAGATGTGTTGAAAAAGAGAGATAACTTAAAAATGCAGGATGAACTTTGAATTTTCAAGAAAGAAAAACAGCAACAGCAGATAACAAAGATAAGCTGAGCTAAATTGAACGAGTGACAACCAGCTTCCAAGAAATGTAGTGGATTAGAAATTTGAATATTTGACTTCGAAATGTAGTTAAGTGAAAGTTAGAAGAACCCACCCAAAATGTATTAAAGTACAAATACTGAAAAAAATTACTTAAAGATATAGTGGAGGATGTTCTTTTTCAGGGCGGATCATCAAAATATGCGGTCCTCCTAATTGTCAATCAATCTGGTGATATGTTTACGTAAGGGCGTCCTACGTGCTCGTCCACATTTTCACTTATCACTGGCGAGTCTGACATAGTGGAAAAATTGCAATTCTTCTTTTGCAAAGTAAGCTTTTATGAGCGATGCACACAGCAACTTTTGAACAGAGCGTGCTCGAGAAGAAATGGGCTTGTGCATGATCTAGCACTCGTTTAATAGGCGTTCCCTCTCGGGAGTGGGTACAGGGCTGTGCATGTAAATTTTTTTTAAAGTAGAGAGAACAGATCTTTTCAAAAATTTGTGAAAATAATGCGTTATACCTTTAAATACAGTGATCAAGTAAATATACTTTATTACTTTCCACCACTACCTTTAGGGGGACATTTGCCCTACCAAACGGCAGAACAAACAGTGTTTGTTCATGTACATGTGTGCATTTTTCATGTTCAAAGAGGCATTATTGAGTTTTCTGACGATACTGCTACATGTGACCAGATGTTTTTTTTTTTCTGAGTTTTTTCACCTTATGTGGAGTTGCCATTGGTGTCTGAGCTGAGCTGAGCTAGAAGAGTATCCACAAACTCTATATTGAATACAACGCTTCGATTGTTTAGATTGGACCCATTTAACAAGGAAGGACTTGACCTCACATGCGCTGAACAGCGTGGAAATTTCCGACCTGAAGTAAATTGAGGGAAATTAAAGCTGAGGTGTCAGTCTGAGCGTCAAAAGATGTTTTGGTGTTAAAGGATCAATAAAAAAGGCTACTGTACAAAGATATTTTTAACAAAAAATGTACATAATGACTCTTTAAGATTGTTTTTTTGTTTGAATATTATTAGCTGTCTCTTAAGCCCCTGTCTTATCAGTTGTTTGTGAAATAGTTTATATTATTGTGCGAAGGCTAAAACAACTACTGGTTAAAAACAAATTGCAAAATGAAAAAAAGTAAATGGAAAAAAATGTCAAACATCTACACCAAAAACAACAGCAAGTAAAATAAACCCCCTTTAATTTCTTGCAACTGCACCCTTTTTTCTGGACTTTTAGAGTTCTTTTGGAGCTTTAGATATTCTGTCATGCAATGTGTTTCATCATTTTTGGCCCACTTGCACCTGTTGGCCACTGTTCAAGCTGGATTTCCAACAGCAGGATACAATGTTCACAAATACAGAAGCAGATTGCTATTGGGTGTGGTTAAACTTTAATAATCACACCTCGTAAACTTTTTTCTTTCTGTTTGCTCTACAGTAATAGAAAAATGTCCTCTATCTAATACACTTGAATACACATACTATCTGAAAACTCTGGCAAAGACCACAAGTGTTCACATGACTGTGATCTGTTTTATGTGATTGAATTTTTAGAGGAAAAATATCAGAGAAAGACTAAGTGGATTAAGAAAAGTTTTTTTCTTCTAGGATGATCAGTTGAAGATAAGAGACAGGAAGCTATCCAATACTTAGGATGTTAAAAAACAAAAAGAGAGTAATTTCTTATCCTAACTTTTCAGACTAAAGCGCTCCAGATCTTTACTTATGAATGAAATTTGTGATAGATAAGGAGACATCATGTAAAAATCAGATAAACCATATAGATTCTTGAAAACATATTTAGTAAATAATAATACCTAAACAAAAAGTTTGTAAAGGAATAAATTAAACCTTAAGCCTATAGCTGCCTGTACTGTGCAATTTTACTGCGTCTCTTCAATCCAGTTTCCCAAATGTATCAACTCACCCTGCAGCGATTCCCACAGCAGCCTTTTCCACAGCAACCTTTGCCTCCGGCTCTAATAGCAGAGCAGCTCGGGCACAGCATCTGTAAAATTGAAGAAAAAAAAATAAAATAATACCCTCATTACTATTTTATTTTTATAGAAAGAATAATGAGTACCAGTGTTGGTACTAGATTTTGGTATTACGGTATGTCTTGCGAATTCAGAAAACATTATTAAAAAGGCTACACTAGACATATTTAATGCTATGTTCCAGATTTAAAACCTATGTTTAGTAAAAGGTTTAAGTCACAGAGAACTGTTGATGTCCACCTGTGATGGTTAAGATTTCAGGTAGGTTGCTGGAGTTTAGGCCATAAAAGATTCTGTTCTTATCACTTTGAGCAAATATTTGTGAATCCCAAGCGATGTACTAAATGGGGCCTGATATCCACATGTTAAGAGGCAGTAAATAGATGACACTTCCTGGTCATTGTTTGTAATGTTATCATGCAGAAAAAGAAAATCCCCACAAAAGTCAGAGGTGGCAGCTGCTGCTTAACTTCATTAAATACGTAATGATTAGTGTCCATGGCTGATATTTTTGTGGGTATTTTGCACTAGACAGGGAAGAGATCAAGCATAGTTTTCCTTTAATAGCTGCATAACTAAATATATGCTGACTATAATTTATTCCAAGCCCCAAATAGACAGATTGATTCAGATTGTTGCAGTGAAATTAGTAACACTGACGTTGAACAATTTTATAACAAACTTAAAATCAGTCTTGCAATGATTATGGATTAAAAAGTTGCATCTGACCATAACCAAAAAAAACCATCTGGAATAAATGTCTTCTGTACCGTTGAACCCAAGTTTAGGTTGTAGTCATGAAGCAAAGCTCTGCTTGTGGAAAAGGTTTTTGTACAATTCCTTTGTTCTCTATGTAGTTCAGGAGGGAATATGTCCAAATGGGATACAACCAGATTGATCATATCTAACAGAACTAAAATGTCTCTTCTTCAAATAATTTAAAATAAAGATGTCCTTGGTAACTGTTATTAGTTCTTATATAAATCTGGTTTATTTCTATACAGATTGAACAATGTAGAACACTAGCATTACCGCTTAGCATTCAAAGGTTTTCCTGTGATAAGGTGGGGCCATGTAGACAAACGGACAAAAGGGAAGGGAAAAACTTGTTTTATTATTATATATTTTATTACCGGTATATACAATATTATGTTATATTATACGGATAAAGTTAGAGTTTTGAACATTTTTCATTTCGTACATTTCGTTTTTTTCAAATAAAAACTTAAAAGACTGTAATTATTCTTCTCTTACGTATATAAATGTATATCTACCGGTATATATATATATATATATCTATATATATATATCTATATATATATAGATATATATATATATATAGATAGATAGATAAATATATAGTATGAGAAATGTCATTTTTACCAATAATGAACTACGTTAGATAGCGTTAGAAATTATTTCATTTTACATCAACAATTCTTTATATACGTAGCAAGTCCATCTGAACCACAACTTTCTTGGTTGTGTTTGGTGTAGCTTAGATAATCTTGTTATAAATTACAGTTTTTGTTTTCTTATTTGTCTAATTTTTTTTTGTTAGATATGGATTTCCAACACTAAAAACTAAAGGTAGCAAAGATCAGAGAGGATTTATGAAAACAAAGTTAGTGCCAATTAAAAAAACAGGAATTAATAAGTAACTTCTCTTCTACTTATCAGAATAATGCTTCTTTATTTTATGAGGCTCCTCTATCAAACCCAATAAAAACAGCACATTTGAATTTACAAGTTTACATAAGGCAAAGTCAGAATCCAATATAAAAAAAGAAACAAAACTGTAAAAAAATAAATACTTACAAAGAGGCCTCCCCCTATGAGGCCCCCCATTAGCCAGACTTGCAGGGAGATCTGGCCAGTGTTTAGTTTCTGTCCATCGGGAAAGAAGAGCAGCAGGTTGGAGATCATGCAGATGAAGGCCGATGGCAGCAGTATCAGGCCCACCAGGCGGGCACACTTTCCAGTACAGCACATCCTGTCAGATTTATTTTTTGTTTGTTCCTCAACCTAAAGATTTATCCACTCCTCTGTCTCTGATCGCCTCCACCAGCTCAAAGCAAATTAAGGGGGCAAAAAATGAGTCAAACCATGAAAAGCTCAAACGTGAAATGAGATCACTGCTGACTCTGGCGAGGTGAAAGTCAAACACAGTGACGGTTACAGCAGGAAGGGGAGAGGGAACAAAGGCCAAGAGTCGGCGTGACTGCCCCCGCCTAATCAGATACTGTCACCTGCCTGTTAGTTCAAAATAAAGATGCTTAAGCGAGGAAGCAATGTGAATATGAGTCATGAAGTCCTAACTAAACAGAAAAAAGACAAATGGACTCTGTTCTCCCTGATGAACACCCTTTGACACCCCCTCAGAATATTATCACTATCATTCAATCCGGAGTCGTTATAAACCCATATGTGCATTAAGTGCATATTATACTATATATACTATATTAGTGATGTTTTCTAGATACACAAAATGCGATGAAAGAAAAGAATCTAGAGACCTAAATGAAGGAATTGAAAACACTTCGTTGATTTGAAACGACATTCAGATTAGATTAGACATTCAGATTAGCAAGCAGATCATTACTCATTTAACACATAGTTTGATAATAGACTGAATAATGCTATTGAAATCCTGTCTAGACATGTGCGCTATGTTACTATGCCTCTAATAACTTTTGTAATCTTGTGCAACCTCAACGATTCAAGCAACTAAGCATTCATGAAATGCTCCACTCTAAGTACCGCTCACTAATGCAGACGGTCCAGGTTCGGCAAAGCAGGAACCAATAAAATTGTAAGAGAATTAGGGTAAGAAAAAGTAATTGGATAAAGTTAGGTTAAGTAGACATTGTAGAAAGCTAAAAAGTAAGACAATAGGAGATAAAAGGGGTTAAAAGACTCAGACTCCCTTTTATCTCCTCTTTCTTTAATCTTGTCTCCTTTTTTTCTGTTTTTACTTTCCTGTTTACCTACATTCCAGTGTCCATATAATCTATAAAACTCCCTGCATAATTATAATAAAGCTATTTATATGCATAAAACAAGCGGAACACTATGGCGATAGCCGTGCTGCTCCACTTGTGAAAGTAAAATATGTTGGGCTCTTTTTGGCATCAAGACAATTATTCTTATTGCCACATTTCCAGACAGGACACCGTAAAAAAAAATAAAAAATTACCTAGTCACCTAAGCTGGACTTGGGGATGTGTAAGCAAAACCTACGTCCTGTCCTTTTCTTTAACTATAGTTATTTTAGTTTTGTTTAAACCTAATTGCCTATTAGCCACACAGCAGGGATTGATCCTCCCTCTCTGGGCCTTCCTTGGTTGAGGGTGAATGGCGGTAGTGGCCTAGAGCCAAAATACAGTGAACTTTGTTTGCTTTTTAATGTACAGACAAAAAAGGGGTTTTTATAGCATTGCGTATTTAAATCCCATTCTGGGTTCTTTGTCCCCTGCTGTTTGTTGGTGTTTTGTCTCAGTTCCCCATCTTCCATCCACACACAAAAAACATTCAAGTCAGATTTGTTAAATATTTTATTATTATTATCTCTATTATTATTATAATAGATAGTTTTCCCAGCCTATACCATGTGTTCTAATGTTTTTTTTTAATTTATTTATTTCCCTCAAATGTCACAACAGCTGAAGACGAAAACTTTGGAATAACTTTTTATATGGAATAAGAAATATCCTCACTGAGGTTGTCTGGGCAACCTGTCCAGGGTTGCAGAGCTTGAGTCACCCAATGGCTGCTGAAAATAACTGATGATAGTGTTGTGGGAAAATTTATATCTTTCTCTCATTATATATTAATATTCATATTTACTCACTATAAAAGTTTTCGCTCAGTCTGTTTCTCTCTCAAGGCCACACCATTCCCTGCAGAATGTTGTTTGTAGACCAGACATAGCTTCTTCCCATAACAATCCAGATTCTTTCTCAAGGTTTATTCATAACATGTTACTGTTAAGCAAAGTGTGTGTAATTTGTTATGACTCTGACTGCTTTCGATTGTTGTAACTAGGGGGGAACGAACCCTGCCCAGATCAGAACAGAGCAGAATGCTGTGCAATGATGACTGTTCTCTCTTTGCAAAGATTTTAATAAATGTGCCGACTGAGTGAAATCCATCGATCTCCGTTTATTTAACTAGGATGAATAGTCGAATACTTTTTTCCCACGACAATAGCTTCTTATTTATAAAAATGAGAGGAAATCACAAAATCCAATGGTATATTTTAACATAAAGTTATTTGAAACTGTATCAAACATAAATGATTTATCCATTTGACAATGTTGAGCTTAAATTTAAAATCATAAGAATGTGGAAGCACAATATTTGAGATTTGGCTTAAGCTTTAACCTCTGCCCAAGTTTAACTTTTAACCACTTATTATATATGTTAATAAACTGAGTAAGCATTCAAATGACAATCAAAATAAAATTAATTAATTAGCATTTTGAATTTGCAAAGTAGCCTACTACACTGCAAAAAATGGAAATCTGTATGAATTATTTTTGCTTAACTTGAGTGAATTTTGTCTTGAATTGAGGAGATAAGTGAGACACCTTGCCAATGGAACAAGACAATTTACATTTAAAATAAGAAAAAAAACAATTGCTTTGTCTTATTTCAAGTGATCTAATTGTCTTATTTTAGGAGTAGAAATACTCATTCCATTGGCAAATTGTCTTATTTACCTACTAAAATTAACGGTAAATACACTTATTTTAAGAAATTTTGTACTTATTTGTAGACGGTTTTTGGAGTGTAGCAGCTACTTGAGATAAACATCAACATGTTTATTGTCATAATTTGGGGTGACAGTCAGGTGCAGGAGTTTGCCCTGCAGCCAAGGGGTCATGAGTTCAAACCTCAATCTCCAGCTTTTAACGTTGTTGCGTCCTTGGGCAAGATACTTCACCTGCATTGCTTATTGATGGTGGTCAGATGACCCGGTGGTAGCTGTGTACAGCAGCCTATATCTATATACAGTTTTCTATAAATAAAAAAACAGTGTTTTATTGTGGGGGATTATTTAGACAGCATAACAACGTTATACTTAATTGAACAGATGGAATAAACTTTTGTCTTTATAAAGAAGCTGTGATGAATAATGGCCTCTTCTCTTCTGTTTTAAAGGAAGCACTGGTTTATTTCTTTTTTTTTTTTTTTAGATCACTGAAGCTAAAAAAAACCTCATTGAGACCAGATCCCCAATGTTCTTACATGTCCAAGTGTATTAAGGTCATTATGTTCCTTATTTACCACTATCAATGTTCTAAAGTCCTTAAACTCTTAGCAATTATTGATTTTGTATAGAAAGTTTTTAAATTAAATCACAATTAAATAATGTAATGAAAATAAAAGCATGCACCACTAAGTGTTTTGTGCTCTTTAGCTAGGAAATCCTTTACTCTGGGGATACTTTAAGGTAGCTGTAGGCTGGTTCACTGATACAGTAGTCTGAGTCTTTTAACCCATAACTGGATTTAGGTTTATTGTGTTTTCAGTAGGGTTTTTCCCCCATTTGAATCTTCAGTTCTACAATATTAGGTCAAGCAGCAATGAACTTTTTTATTTAACATTTTATAACTAATAACCAGACTTATTAGTTATAAAAACACTGTAGCCTATTGTTAAATGTAAAATTGTGTGTAATCTGTCTACATAAAGTAAATTAATTATTTCTAATAATTTCACTCATAAAGCCATTTTTGGGTGGCAACTCTTCTGTAGGCAAAATCTTCGTCTTTGTCCATTCAGGATTCCCCTTAAGGCGTCAAACAAAGAGAGTTTTTAAGAATGAATAACTGGACTATTAAAAAAAATAAATAAAAAGAAAAAGGTTTTTTTATATTCTCAAAAATTACATTGCAGGATTTCGCTTTGTTATTCCTATATTTAAAAACAATGCAGCTGATGCTTAATAAAAATCCAGGTTTAACATGACATTTACTTTGGTAACTTTATAGGTTTTTTTCCTAATGCATTTAAAGACCTGAACTTTCCGCTGATATGGGGCCCAGGCTTTACTTGAACAGATTAATTAGAGATTTTAGTCCTTGTGTCTCACAGCCAGGAAATACAAAGGATCACTCTAGCGAATTACTCCTTCACCCTTTGGTTAAATAGTAAAATATCCAGTTGAAAATATTGCTGTGTATAAATCAGCTTATGAAACAAAACTGTTTTTTGCCGAAGTCTTTGTCACAAACAACCGAGAGATGACCAGTTCACAACCACAGAATGTGTCAGAAAGATTTATCAGCATTTTCTTATTTTATTGGTTTACCAGTTCCTGTAAGGCAGATGTGTGTTGATCTTCAGGCGTCAAAAGTGACGATAAGATAAGAAACTTTTACTTCCCTAAACTTGCCAATATCTACTGTCTGATTAACCTTTTAATATTTGATTAAAATGGGACTGTTACATGCAAGGCTTGACCATAGTTTATGTCACCATAGAGGAAAATGGTGATAAAAAAAATAAAAACAGCTTGACAGAACAATCTCCAAATCTTATGCTTCTCTAATCTTTATTGCTTTTTATTCTATTTCCTCTGCAGTGTATGGTGCTGCAATAAAGGCAGAATTGATTTAAAGGTTAATCACATCTTTACTAGGTGTGCATATATTGTTTAGGCCTCTCTTGACAGCACTTGTACAGTACTGCTTTTTTCTCTTAGTCCATCCAAAGTTATATGAATATGAAATGATTTTTTAAGATCAAAGAGCCTTGGTAATATTTTTAACATTTTGCTTGGACACGAAACCATGATCCAGGGGCAACTGAGTTGCACACTGCTTAAAGAGGTCATGATGAACAAAATAAAAGATAAAAAACAAACACAAACTGCAAAAGAGTTTTAAATTACGTGTTTTACCCTATATAGTTTGATTTTCACACAGTTAATTTTTATTTCAAAACGAAAGTGTTCATCAAAATGCAAAAGTGTATTAATAAAAATGACAATGATAAGGCCGACATTGATATAAAAACAGAAAATTCTAATCTAGATCAAAAAACATTTATCACATGTTTTAGAAAATTTAGTAAAAACTGAATGTCTGGCTCGCAAAGCAAAAAAGAAACAGTATTTTCC